TCTATCTATCTATCTATCTATCTATCTATCTATCTATCTATCTATCTATCTATCTATCTATCTATCTATCTATCTATCTATCTATCTATCTATCTATCTATTATTTGGCCGAGAAAATAATCTTGAAGGTGCAAGGAAGGTAATGGAAGGATCAAGACGTCCTTCTATTTATATAGACCCCATCTGGATCCTGCCATGGCTGTTACTCACTTTTTTAAAAACTGCAAGAAATTCTGAACATAGATGTCTTGATGTCTAATCTGAAAAGTGAAAAAGGTAGAAATTTTTATTTATTTATTTAGGACATTGGTTCCCAAACTTGGTGGAGGCATACCTCCAAGGGGGGCATGTGATGAGGTTTCAAAGGGGATAAGACCATCATCCTTCACATGAATTTGTTTTGTTTTTGCTGTTTCTTAAGGTAGATACATTTGTTTTAACTTCTTCTGACAAAAAAAATTAGTTGAGCTGCCCTTTTTGGTATTGTTTTCCACTTTAAAATACAATCTCGTTTTTCCTTTTTTTAAATGAAAGAGGAACTGGAGAGATATGAGGTTTTCTCAAGAAGGGGGCATTACGCAGAAAAGTTTTGGAATGACTGATTTTAAACTATGTGGAGAAAAGCCTAATTTGAAATGTATAGAGTTCAACTTGCAAAGGCTTCTCAGTGCTAATTAGTCCCCATTTGAACGTTCAGATACTAATCCAGTTGGTTGAGGCATACTTGAAAAATCCAGGCATGACACTGCAAGATATATTTTCAGTTAAAAGGAAAAGGAGACCTTTTCGTCATTTTTTAGGGGATTGGCAATCTCACCAGATTTTGAGCTGTCCAGATTCAAGACGCATGGGGATGCTAATTTCAAAACGAAAAGTGACTCCTGCAGTGATTGAAAGATAAGAGCATTTTCCTAGTCAGTTGACAAGATTAAATATACTATTTCTAAATGTCTATATGGTATTTACATTTACTATATAGTATTCACATTTCTGAATAATTATTTTTATACACAATGACTGTTAAAAGGTATGAAACTCTAATTAGAATCTTTGATGTATTCACTTTGAATGGATTTTAATAGTAAGTGCCAATATCTGCCTAACTGAAAGATCCAAGAAGAACGTACACTAGAGACCTATTAGAACCAAGGGACCTGATCCCATTCAGCCTTCAGCCTGAAAGATTTTAGCCATCTTGTAAAAGAAACCAAATTAAGTAGGCCCACACATACTCCATCACCAACAGGAAGCCCACCTGGTTCTAAAAGTGCCAGAATTCAGGGCTTCATAAGAAATGCTAGGCTTTTAGCTTCATTCTCAAACTAGAATTATATCCTATGTGTCCTTTTTGCTATTTTTAAAGAATTATCTTTCTGTTTTGTACATGGTGGCAATAGAGGCTGGAGAGTCTCACCAGATCTCTAAATGATTGGATCTGAGTACTCGGACTGTTGGCCAACTGTAGTTAAACTAATTCCATCTTGCCCCTTCCTCCATTCTTGGTTTGAAAAAGTTGTCATCCCTACTGAAGAGTTGTTTGTGAGGGTTAAAAAAAGTTTCTTTCTAAAAAATGTATTTTTGATTTTTTTAGCATATAAAATCCAGGAAAGCATTGTGAACTATATTTGGACAGAAACCATTAAATAATAAATGAATTAGCAAAAATATTTGCATGCAACCCTGAAAGACTGCATCTTCAAGCCCATTTGACAGAGACAGAACATATAAAAAGCTTCTTGACCTCATAGGACAATCCTAAAGTTATCTCTGAAGTAAATCCAGTTGAAGTGCGTGGGATAACTCAAGTTTGGGGAATATCTACTTTAGTTATGAAGAAAAATTCCTTGATTATTCAATCAGTGCACCAAATCCAGTCTTGCAATTAAATCATCATCTTAGAACTGGAGATCTGGAAGGGAATTTATGGATTATCGAGTCCAGCCTCTGTCAAGGAGGCACAGCAGGGAATTCAACTCCCAACCTCTAAGCCACTGAGTTCTCCAGCAGTTCTGTCGGTGCCTTTTATATCTTCAGCAGTCAGTTGAGCTCTTTACCCTTGGATATTTGGCAGAACTGAAATACAAAAACATAAAATTTTAGTAGAATCTTTATATGTGAACTGCCTTTGAAATTATGGTAATAAATCATAAAAATAGATATTGTGCTTTTAAATATACCATGTTCATAAAGTGATTTGCATTTTTTAACTTTTATTTTATTACTACTGTACATTAAAATGAGTTAGGCTAGGATTTTGGTTGCTTAGATAGCATTTTACACTGTCTATGATGTTTGTGAATGTGACTGGTCTGTGACCCGGCACCAGTCCATGGCCTAAGCAGGACTGGGCCTTGGATACAGATCTCCTGACCCCCTGTGAGTGCCCCCCGTGAGTGCACCCCACACATGCGCACAGGCGTGCCACGCCCCCGCGCAGGTGGACCCCGTCCCCCCAACCAGTCCACGGTTGGGAAAAGTTGGGGACCACTGGTTAAACCACTGTTCGGATATTACATGTGATATAGTTGCATTATGCAGACATTGTTTCTTTTATGAAGCTACTACATTTTGCTTGAACCTAGTTTGCAATATTTTGTTTGGGGGATGGTGTGGGGGAAGTAATTTATCTGTCACCACATGACCTTTGATTGTAGTGAGAAACAAAATGTATGAGCTTTGTAGGCAACCGTCAGGCAACAGTGTCTGTGATTAGTATTCAGCAAGCCTGTCTTGGTATAGCTTACTGACAACAGTAAACTGAAAACAGTAACAGCTGGCTTGAATCTGTACTCTGCCATAAACTCAATAGACAAGCCACTCTGTTTCATCCTCAGTGCCCATCCACAATATGAAAAGAATAATACTGATGTACCCTGCAGTGAAACCCTGTGTGGTGTAGTGGAAAGTTTGATGGACTAGGACTCAGGAGGTCCGGGTTCAAATCCTCACTCAGCCATGGAATCTCACTGAGGTGTGTAAGTGATAAAGCCACTCCTTAAATATCTCACTTACCTTGAAAGCCCTGTTAGGGCTACTATAGGTTGTTTCAAACTTGATGGTGTGTAATACCAATCATACAGCAGGGATGACGGTCTGTGGCCTTCCAGATAATTTTGGATTGCAGCTCCAAATTCCATCACTGTGCTGGCTAGGGCTGATGGAAGTTATAGGCTAAAAACATCCAAAGTAGTGGTTTCCAACCTTGGATGTCCAGATGTTCTTCGACTAGAACTCCCCAGAATCCTGGCCATCACAGCTAGTAGTAAAGGCTTCTGGGAGTTTTAGTCCTAGAATGTCTGGGGACCCATGGATGGGAAGCACTGATCTAGACGGTCATCATTGCTATCCCTAACTTACAATATTGCAAATACTACAGATAATGCTTCTGCTTTCAATTTTGTATTTATAAAAAGTAAGAGAGTCCTGAGTAGAGATGGGCACAAACTATGGTTTGGCTGTTTGTGCCGGTTCATTTTTTTGGCAAAACAGATATTTGTTACTTCCCAGCCCTGCCTCCTCTGGTGGGGCACCCACTCAGAGACAGCATCCCGGCTTCCCTGCCCCACCCCACCTCCTCTGGGCACTGCCTCTGAGTGGGTGCCCCACTGAAGGAGGTGGGCCTGGGAACTGCAGTATGTGTGTTCAGCCCAAAAATGAATTCGTCAGTTTGGGCCCATCTCTTGTCCTGAGCTAGTGCCACGCTCGCGTCACTTAATACTTTGAATAAAGAAACATGGTGAGAGAATAAAATCTTAAATATAGATGTGTGCAGAGTTGTGTTTTGGGACACCAGCCCTGAGGAACTGAGAGGTTTATAGTCCAAAAACACAAATCCTCATAACTCTGCCTAAGTATTTTTAAGAGATAACTTGCTATCAATTTTTATATATAATTTTATATATATTGTTGACTATTTTCTTTAAAACATTTTTAATTATTCTCACTTGCCAAATTGAGTATGTACATTAGTATATATTTTGTTGTGTTTTTATCCCACATTTCCCCCAAGTAGCTGAAAGCAAATACTGTATAACAAAATGCATACTAACATACATAGTCAATCTGACGAGTGAGAAAAATGATCCCTGTGCCTGTTTCAAATCTATAATAGCCTTTTTTTACAAACTAAAACCTTTTGGGGGGGGTACATTTTAAAGAAGCATCTCCACCCCACCTACCATCCACCTTCCTTTTTGTGTGTGTGTTTTTAAGTCTTTGGGGCATAAAAAATCTGTGTGGTGATATGAATGATGTGTGTGAAGATATGGAAAAGGGAGGAGATGACCTCTGGGCCCTGTGAGGTTTCTTACCCTTGCTATGTTCTGTAGATATTCAGATAAATGTGTTTTGTGCTCTGTGAAGTTAGAAGTACAGTGCAGGTTTAGGCATTTTTGGCATTATTTTGAAAGGAAGCAAATAAGATATCTTAATGTCAGAGTTTCACAGACACAAAAAAATATTAAAAACATAAACCAGTTGTTTACCATCTTGCCAGTATAATTGTTTCTTAGAAATGCCTCTGCATAGAACTTCCTAGTACAGATAATCGTCCTGCAGAAGACAAGACAGTCGTGTCCTGCTTCTTATACCAGCATCTTGAAAGAGTTCTTGATTTTGTCCACTAGTGAATGAATGCTCATTTTTAATAAAAATTTGAAGATGCTTTGCAGCAAGAAATAAAAATCATGTTAGGCACTGTGTCCCACTGATCCTGAGACAAATCAATTTAACTTCTGGTTCTTAGTGTGTGCAGAATTACATTGTTTCTGGATTCTAAAATCTGTGCACTGTTAACAAATGTGAGTTTAAGTAAATATTAAAGTAATATATTGCTTGTTATTCATAAGACTGTATGAAAACAAATAAAAATACATTGGAAATGCATTTCCACCTTTTACCTTTTGTATCATGTCTTTAGGATTGTAGGCCTCAGAGTATGGACTGTTTTTAATTCTCTTGCATAGACTGTTCTGAGAGTCTTTGAAGAATGGGTTTTAAAAGGTTTAAATAAATATGTTTTAGCAAGTGTAATGGTCAGATAAATATTTACATGAAAGGAAAATTTCATTCTCAGTAATAAGAGATTATGGCATAGTGGAATGAGTGATATATTAGGACTCTGAAGAACAAGGTTTGAATCCTTGCTCAGCCATGGAAACTCAGTGGGAAAGTGGAACAGGTAAAACCACTCGTTAAGTATTTCAGTTACATTGAAAGCCCTATTAGAGTTGCTATAAATTGGTTCCAACATGACTGCACATAACACAAACAATAATACATTTCATTCATATAGGAGGCTGCAGGAGAGTTCGGACAACCTCTTAAGGCAAGAAGTGAACAGTACCTCCATTACTCACTTTCATGGTGTTGTAAGAAGAATGCGCCTTGAACCTAGAATACACTGCTGCCTTTTCAGTGCATGATAAATCCCGTTTTGTCCTTAGCTGTAGCTCCCAAAACAGAAATGAAAGAAATAGGAATTCTCGTCTGTTCTAAAGTTAACACATTACATTAGCTTTGTCCATAGGTATTCATATCAAAGACAGATAAGTTTATTACTGTGCACCTTACATATTTTCTAGAGGGAAGTTTTAATCCAGGACAAATGGTTCCTTCCCTCCAGCGATGGGCTAATTCATGAAGGGAAAGAAGAATGGACAGTTAATTTATGAGAACACTTTGTGGAATATATTAGCTAAAACTTGCTAATTGAGAAGTTTTTCTGCATAAGGAAGCAATGAAAACTTGCAAATTGCTTTGTTCTTGATAGAGATGCATTAGGACACCCTGTTGAAGAAAACCAACTGCTGTGAGAGTTTTCTCTCTTCCAGGGCAGTGAAAAGATGAGTGTATTTTTGAGGAGGGAGGCCAGTATTTGGAGGGGGGGAATGGAGTGATTTGTACAAAATAATTGTATTTTTCATAAAATTTTATTTTCTGTACAGACTGTAAAACTTTTCATGCAAGGTTTTATGCACAATGCACAATGCCTTTCTGTGAAAAAACACATTTTTATATATAAAAACACTTCCATGCATTTTTGGGGGGGGCAGGAGCTGCTGAAATGTGAAAAATATAAGAAAACTGAAATTTTTCATTTTTAACTGTAAGAAAAAAACAAAGATTTGTGTTCAGATATGGATTTGATCACTTATTTAAGCTCCTATAGGTCTTACAAAATACAATCCTAGATACAGAACATGAAGAATTAAAAGAAAATTAAAAGCAAAGTTTCTTTAGAAATAGGTATTGGTGTCCTCCTAAGCTGGAAGACCCAAGTGAACACTTGCAAAATTTATCTTTTCCTCAAATTGTATTTTTTTCCAAATGCAATTTCTCAGTTTCTACTTGCTCAGTCTTTTTGACAGAATAGTCAAAATCCGATTGCTTAGCATAGGTAATTACACTACAGTAGGTTCATTGAATCAGTAGAGATTTGGTGAGTCACCTCCTCCATATGCCCCATTGATTCATACAGTCATATAGGCCTACTCTAACTGTGACTTATTTTAGTATATTAAGTTGCAGTTAGAATAAGCCCATTTGAATCAGTGGAACCTTTGGAGGACTTCATCACTAAGTCCCTACTGGTTCAGTAGGTGTACTCTATTGCAATTTATTATGCTAAACAACAGTGTTAATACTTTTTGCTATCCATGTTATTTACAGAAAACAAATCTGATCATGCATCTGTGTCCGTGTTATGTGCACCAAATCAGAACTGACTTGCAGTGACCATAACAGTGCTTTGAAGGTAAGTGAAATATTTAAGGAGTGAGTGGCTTTATTAGTTCAGCACCACGATTGAGCTTCCACACCTGAGCGGGAACTTGAACCTAGGTCTTTTGAGTCCTAGTCCATCACTCTATCCATTGCACCACACTGGGTATCACTATTTACATCCATGTATTTTCAAAAGATAGTGAATTGAAAGAGAGAAGGATGTGCAGACTACTAGCAGTTGAATTATGGAATATCTTAAGAGACAAGTGCTGATAGTCTAATGTGCAATAAAAAGTCAGGAATAATGTGCTTAACTATAGTTCTTCCTATGTCTACAAACAAGCCAAAATAAGGTTTAAAATCATTTTTAATCAGTTTGAACTTATTAACCATTTCAAACTTGTTGTAACCCAAGTAATGTAGAAAATTGATATGAAAGATTGGAAATTGTCCTGAATCTTATGCTCTCTAATAATTATAATTGTGTTCTGTCAAATCAATTCTGACTTCTGGCAACCCTTTTCAGAGTTTTCTAGACATAGAGTACTCAGAAGTGATTTACCATTCCCAGGCTGAGCAGTTGAGAGCATTGACCCTGACAGAGGCCTGGAAGGAGAGGACTAGAAACCAGGCCTTCTCAGTTGTCAGTCCCCAACTCTCGAACAACCTCCTGCTTGAAATCCACCTGGCCGCTTCACTGGGAACTTTTAAGCAATTGCCAAAAACATGTTTTTTACAGGCCTTCCCAGACCTCATATCTTAATATAGTGGTGGTCTTAACATTTATATTATCAGTTCTGCCTCCTTGCTTTTATATCATTTTAATTATTGTCAATTAAATTTGTTGGTGTGATTGTGTTTGACTTTGATTTTATAACTATTATGTTTATTGTTTTAAATTGTTCGATTATATGTTTGTTTAATGTGTAAATACAATGGTACCTCGACTTGCGAACGATTCAAGTTATGAACAGCTCCATTCACAAAAGTTGCTTCGACTTGCAAATGGAGCCTCGACTTACAAACGAAAAAAATATATGAAAAAAACCTTTCCTGCCCCTTTTTTGACCTGAGTTCATCTTAGGTCAAAAGAAGGGGGGGGGAAATCTCTCCCTAGTGATAAAGTATGGATTTACCAGCTTTGCATTAGTTCCTATGGGAACTAATGCCTCTACTTACGAACAGCCCCTCGACATACGAACGAAAACAGCCTGAACAGATTAAATGGTTTTCAGTGCATTTCTGTGGGAAATCTTGCCTCGATTTACAAACTTTTTGATGTACAAACGCCGTTCCAATACGGATTAAGTTCGTTAAGTTGAGGTACCACTGTAGCCCAGAGTGTATTTGGCAGCCAGATGGGCAGTATAGAAGATAGATAAGTGAGTGAGTGAGTGAGTGAGTGAGTGAGTGAGTGAGTGAGTGAGTGAGTGAGTGAGTGAGTGAGTGAGTGAGTGAGTGAGTGAGTGAGTGAGTGAGTGAGTGAGTGAGTGAGTGAGAGAGAGAGAGAGAGAGAGAGAAAGAAAGAAAGAAAGAATTTTCCTTCTTCTGGGGGCATCCAGAGGCTGTGCAGAGGGCCCAAGACCACACAGGCTGGCTCTATTCTTGGATGCACAGTGGGAAATTGAACTCCCAGCCTCTGGCTCCACAGACAGATACCCAACTCACTGAGCTATCCAGCCAGCTAGATAGTTCTAGAACTCACTGAGCTATCCAGCCAGCCAGCTATGAGTTCTAACAGATTTTAATTTTTTTGCCATTATATCAGATATGTTCCAACTGTGGCCTCTAATAATAGCTGGAATTTTTAGGTTGCGAAAAGTACCAAGAAATCCTAATTTCAGGAGCTATAACACCTGCATTTCCAAGCCTATGAGATAGAATCAGCTTTAGAACAGAATTTCAAGTAAACTTTTTCTAATGTTCGCTTTCTGATATTCACATTTTTAATAATGCGTGTGTGCTAGATACTGAAGCAACTGGGCTTACAAACTGCTGGAGAAAAGAGAGACTTATTTCTTAGAGATCCCTTAACTTCTTATAAGGGGTGGGAGTTTTGGATTTTTTGGACTGCAGTTCCCAGAATTTGCCTAAAATTTGCCCATGCAGAATTCTGGGAGCTGCAGTCAAAAGTAAAAATACACAGAGCAGCTTTCATTACATTTCTATGCTTCTGCTGCCATTTTTTCTCATTTCAAGAGCAGGGAAACTAGCCCAGTGATGGCTCAGAGTGGCAATGATCCATGTGAGCCACAAAGGTGAATGGAATGGGTAGTTTTGCTGCCCATTTGGCTCTATATTTATTTGTTCCTTATTTAATAAACTTACATACTGTCCGGCTAGAACGTGTCTACTCTGGGCGGTTTATACAAAATATAAAAAATAAACTAAGGTATAAGTGAACTAAAGATACAAACCAAATTAACAGCAGAATCCAAGATGGAAAAAGAAAAAAGGCTAGGTGATGGCTGTAGGGAAGGCCTGCCTGTATAGCCATGTCTTCAGATTAGTCTTGAAGGCCCTTAGTGAGGGGGCCAGGCAGATCTCTACAGGTAGGTTGTTCCAGAGACGAGGGGCCACTGCTGAGAAGGCCCGGTTTTTAGTTTTTTCCCTTCGGGCCTCTCCTGGTGTTAGGCCCCTCAGCCACCTGGCCTGACTGGGATGGGTGATATGGGCGGAAGAAGGTGCTCTGCCAAGTATCGAGGGCCTAAACCATTTAGGGCTTTGTATGTGATAGTCAGCACCTTGAAATCAATACGGAAGTGAATAGATAGCCATTGTAGGGTGGCCAGGGTGGGGGATATATGGTGGAATCTTTTCACCCCTGTTTAGCCTGGTTGCCATGTTCTGGACCATTTGAAGGTTCTGCATCAGTCTCAAAGATAACCCAACGTAGAGAGCATTACAGTAGTCTATTCTTGAGACTACGAGCGCATGGACCAACATGGTGAGTGCCTCTGCATGTAGATAGGGACACAGCTGGGTGATCAGCCAAAGAATAAGTGGGCGGACCGAACCACGGATGCTACCTAGGTCTCCATGGTGAGCGCTGGGTCAAGATGGACCCCAGACTGTGAATCGTATTCTTTGTGATGAGAGTCACCCCCCCAAAAAAAGAGAGGGAGTTCCTCAAACCACTGACATCTTGGGCGCCCACCTGCAAGACCTCTGTTTTGTCCGGGTTCAACCTCATTCCATTCAACTGCATCCATTGTAGGATAGCCTCCAGGCAGTGCTCAAGGGACGGAATGGCATCTACTGCAGAGGGAAGAAAGGAGATGTAGAGCTGGGTGTCATCAGCATATTGGTGACAAGAAGCTCCCCGGATGATCCTCCCCCAGCGGCCTCATGTAGATGTTAAACAGCATTGGGGAGATGATCAAACCTTGCAGAACCCCACAATTGAGGGACCACGGAGCTGATACATTCTCCCCAAGCTGGACTCTCTGGGGACGGCTCTTCAAGAAGGACTGGAGCCAAGCAAGAGCAAGGCCACCGATCCCCAGTTTGGAGAACCTCTCCAGGATTATACCGTGGTCGAAGGTATCAAAGGTGGCTGAGATATTAGGTAGGATCAGCAAGGACATTTTGCCCCCATCGGCCTCCCTAAGTAGGTCATCCAGCAGGGTGACCAATGCCGTTTCCGTGCAGTGGCGTGGCCTGCAACCCGACAGAAATGGATCCAGGGCATCAGTTTCATCCAAGAGGGCCTGAGGCATCTATAGAGGACACCTCATAAAGAGCTACCCAGTGTAAAGAGCCATCTTTACAGTGAGCATGGCACTTGTTTTGATTCCTAAAACACAGGCCTGTGATACATGCTTCTCAGATAAAACAGAATATCCTGAGATGCAAGACCTAGCTGGCTTTTCAAGAGTTTCAGTTCCTTTAATAGTAGACATCCATTACTTCCGCCACAAGTACAGAAGTGGCTGTTAGATGTTGAAAGCTCTTTGGTTTGCTACTTACTGTAAACTTAGTGTGAATTGTTGTGCAAATACTTTTTTCCCCCCAAGTTACTTTTCTCTCCTATTCCAGTTATTTCGAATTTGATTAGACTTGACACAGCAGTGATGATATGTGGCTATTTTGTTCTGACTTCTGTGTGCTTTTCAGTTCCCATGTTGTGTGCACACTTCCTTTTAAAGAGTTTCTATCTCATAAAGAATTCTAGGGTTGATTTTCCTACGAAAAATTGACTTGGAGTTATTCTCTTTTTTTAGTGTTTTCTATGCATACCCCAAGCAAAGTCTCATGATGCCCACTTAGAATGTTTTGGCTTTATTGTGTTGCCCCCAGGTAGAGGCAAAGGATTTAGTCCACTGACAAAATCTGCTTGTCAGTTCCCACAGTTAACCTGTGCCGTAAAAACTTGATCCAGCAGCTTGGGAAGCCTCCAAATCGGGTTCTGCTACCCAGAAGCAGGCACAGCAGAGGCTGGGGAGTAATGTGCTAAAGCTAGCTGTGTCTAAGCAACACATTTTATTTTTTCCTATCAGTGACTTACATTTTTTGTTGAATACTTTGCAGAGCTTTTTTTTTAATGAGTACTTTGGAACAAGACCAGTTCTTTCTGCACACATTTTATGATGAGACACATTATATGTTAGATAGTCCTGCAACACAGCCCTGCTTTGAGCTAGTTTTGACTAAATAATGTCACAGTATAATAACCTTGTATTGTGGCATATGACTTCTAATAATAAATGCTCAAATAATATTTTTCTTAATGTGTTTCTCCAGCATTAACTTGGCTTTTAATGTGAGAATTTGCTTTCCTTGCCTCATTTTTATAGTGTATTTTTGCAGTTTTTAAACGGTGTCCCTCTGAAAACCATGCCACATAAAGTTTTGTCTGGTATACTGTGAAACTAGTTAAACGTTTTACAGCAAGTGCAAAGGGAAGATGAAGCAGTAGAGACAGGAAACACTTGTCACTTGTGCTTTGTAGCTGTATGTCTGCTTCCTGTCAGTTAGATGACTAGAAGTGGAACAGATGAACCAAGATACTGCTCCTCTTTAATTTTTCTC